AAGGACACACATATGGTTTAAGAATTGCTTAGGGTAGAAGAGGCGATTTGCAAGTGTGACTGAGTTTCCCATCGGCTTTAAAAAAAAAAAAAAAAAAAAAGGTTACCAAATCGTCAAGATATTTTTTTTAAATCTGTTTTTTTTCATACTCCTGAACAACTAAAGTTTTAGCACTGAGGCTACGTCTACACCACAGGGTTTTTGCACCAAAATGGCCATTTTTGCAGAAAAAAACCGAAGTGTCCACACCTCAAGCGCATTTTTGCACAAGTACATTTACAGTAAATCAAAACAACAGAGGGGTTTTTGCAGTGTAGGCATTCCTCTTTCTACGAGGAATAACTCCTTTTTGCGCAAGAGTTTTTGCGCAAAAAGGTGTGTGTGGGCGGGCAACAGAGGCTTTCTTGCAGTCTGGACGCTCTCTTGCGCAAAAGCGCTTTTGCAATGCGCTTTTGTAGTGTGGACACGCTCCTGCGCAATAAGTTTTTGTGCAAGATCTTTTCTGCAGAAAGCTTCTTGTGCAAGAAGCCTGCGGTGTGGATGTAGCCCGAAAGGGGCAGTGTAGACATGTCCTCTGTGATGTTTGTAAAATAGCAAAAAACTCTAGTGTAGACAAGGGATGTAAAATTCTGTTTTATTGGTTAAATGGTTAAACGCAGTGCTAACACACAAGCGTGGGGGGGAAGAATGACTAGCTGAGGGACTAGTCGACTAGTTGCTTACATCCCTATATGAAATGATTATACAACAGGGTTTATTCCAGAAATATTTTTTAAAATGAAATCTGGCAAACTTTATGGGATGTTTCTCTGTGAACACAAGGCAATATTTAAAGTGTTCTGCAAGGTACACTGAGAAAAAAGACTTGAGAAAAGAGACATCTGACTTATTTCTGATGCTTCTCTTTCCATTAACAGAAAAAAAGCTAACTAAAACATCCAACCCAAATAATAGGAAAAAACAGTTATATCGGTCAGGGAAGTCCAAAGAGACTTGCAGTAACTTTAATCTGTGGAACCCTGCAGGAAACAATTTGGGCTCATTTGTTCAAAATCTTTCTAAAGGAATTTTATGCCCATAAATCTTACTACAATTTAGTGCTAATTCAATCTAGCTCCCTATCAGATATAGGTTCTTTTTGGTAGCATAATATATGAGGGAGAGACTATGGTTTTGTGGTCAATGCATAGGAATGGGAGTCAAGATCCTGAGGTCTGCTCTTGGTTCAGGCAATGGCTTGTGTGTGACCCTGGATTGACTGTGCATCTGGAGGGCTGTTCTGTAGCTCACACACTTTGTTAATGAATGTCTATAGAGAGCTTTGAGAGCCTCAGAGGAAAGTGGCAGCGTAGTGTGAGTATAACCTAAGGTGTTAAATAACAACACAAAGTCATATTTGTGACAATGATTTATTAGTATAAGTTAGAAGACTAAAGAAAGCTGCTGATCTGCAGTCCTAAGGTTTTTTAAACTTAGTACCGAATTTGGCTGGGAAATGATGATTAATTCCCCACTGCCAGCTGCTAAATTCTTGACCTACACATTGGTGCTTGTTGTGTTTTCTCTCTTTTTTTACTCGGCAATCTCACGGTCTCTTTGGTTTTTGAGCATTCATTTATTTACTCTTCCTCTGAGTTTATCGAGATCGTTCTGAATTTTTTTGCCTTCCTCGGTTGTGTTGACTGACCCACAAGTTTTGTATAATCAGCTGCACATTCTTTCCTCAAGGGCATTGATACACAACTGGAAACAGCTGTCATAATACTGGCTGTAGCTGGACTCATCTAGCTTTCTCTGCCCACTTCAATCTGCTCATATTCACAGTGCTCCTTGTATTTGATATTCGAACCAGTTCTTTGCCCATTCAAATGTCTCATCCTCTGATATCACTCTTGTTGTCCTTGCAGATTAGGCTTGTGCTGAGGGCTTTGTATAACTAGCTTGAAGTCCTGTAGATTACCTCAACTTCCCTTCATCTCATTCATGACCATCTCCTGAAATTCATACTGGTTTCTTCAGCATCAGCTCATTTTCTTGGTGAATTTTGGCCAGTCAGTTTAGTTAAAGCATAACTTTCAACTTAACTATATGTTCAGCTATATGTTCCACTAGATGTTGAATTGTAACTCTGGGCAGTTTCTCTTTGCCCTACGGGCATTTGTCCCCTAGATCTGCCTTCAGCCAAACTTAGTTCTCTTAGGTTTTGTCTACACTTACAAGTTGAAAGCACAGCAATACTCTAGTTCACTGTTTCTCAACCAGTGGTATGAGTACCCTCAGGGGTACTCGAGAGAAGTCTGGGGGGTACATCAACACAATTGAAATTTGGAAAAAATGGAACTTTTGTTTCAAGTTTTACAGCATTTTATTATTTTTGTACTTTTTATCCCCCAGAATTTCATCACCCCGCCCGGGTGTTTAAACAAATGTGTTGCAATGGTAGAAAAAGATTTTGTGTCTGAAAACTATAGGTACTGGGGTACTTACTTTTATTTTTGGAAAAGGGGGTACTTTATAAAAAAAAAGGTTGAGAAACACTGTTCTAGGTAACCTGCCTTCATGAGGGGAGTGGTAGCTGGGAGTCCTTTATAGCAGGGGTTCCCAAACTTTTTGACATGGGGACCAGTAAATCCATTCACGAACTTTTGGAGGACCAGTAACATTCATTTGCATATTTTGCATATTCATTAATCAAATGATGAATATTCAAATAAGTTGATTCTGGCACAATAGAATCCCCGGGCCAGACTCACTCGTGCTTTGCGGGGGGGGGGGGAAGGGGAGCAGTGCCCCGAGACCTGCATATGGCCAAGTCAGTCCCGCTCCCTGCCGGCCGATTCACTCTCTCCCCCCGCCTCTGGCCAGCCCCACTTCCCCCAACCCCCTCCTGGACAGCCAGTTCTCTTCCCAATCTCCCTTGGCCAGGC